CTCCAGGCAGGAGTAATAATATATTATTGTTTACGGTAATAATTATGTAAGGTTTTAATTTTCAGGAGTAATAACATAATTTTATGTTAGATTTTATATTATTATGCTCTTTAAAAGTAATAACATTTGATCAGAACATTAATATCTAAATACATATGCAGAAAAATGTACATGTAAATAAATAGAGTAATTTAATTCATGATTTTACATATAATCGATCAATATTTTTCAGGAATATTGAAATTATAATATCACATTCTTTTGAAGCAATTAATATTCTTTTTTTTTTAATATTAATAACATTGTGTTTCTTCAGGAACATCAACACAACTCTTTTTTTTTTATGTATAAAATGTGCTTTATTTAGGAATACAATCAGACATATAATTTTCAAGAGCATAAATACAATATTCTTCTGAAATATTGACATTAACGATTCATTCTACATTTCAAGTTAAATAATAAAATTTATGCCCTACATAACAATGAAATATTGGTATTGAATATTTATATAACGTGTGTTGCATTTTTCGAGAACATCAATATTATATTCGTTTAAAATAAATATAATTTAAATTATACTTTTTCAAGAACATTGAGTCAATATTCTTTAGGAATATTGATCTTGTAATATCATGCTCTTTATAAGCAAGTAATATTCTTCTAAAATGTTAATAATGTTGTGCTACTTCAGAAGCAGCAACAAACTATTTATAATAGATAGATATACAATTAATATTATTCTAGAATATTAATTATAAGGTTGTACTACTTTTGGAACAACAAGATGATAAATTCTTAATTTAAAGTTCATAGAAGAATATCTAAAAATATTTAGTTACCATATAGACATGATATGAATTTATATAGAAAAGTTATTTTCCAAACATGTATTAGGAAAAAGAATCTCCATACATAAAAGTTAACAAAATTAATTAAATTGCTTATTGGCTAAATCTTTTTCCAACATGCAAAAGATACTAAACATGCATGTGAATTTCACATATCTAGAAATTAAAGATAGAACTAATATGTAACAAATTCAAAAGACAGAATTAATACTGAATAATATATGGAAAAAATAATCGTGTATGAATTTAAAAAAAATGAATTCATATGTGTCCAGATTTTACATACAAATATGAATTAAAATTAATATGCATGCCGATAAAAAGTAGAGAAGGAGAAACAACCTCGTTATGATGCATACGTATATTGAAATATTTCACATGCTACCAAATTAATTTTGGCACATGTGATAAATATTCATGCCTAAAAAAATTATTACGTTCAATAAACTTTAAAAAATTAAGTTATCGTACTGATAACGTGTTATAAAGTAAAAAAAGAAAAGAGAACAGAGAAATGTTAATAGACTTGTGTGTGTTTTATTAAAAACCAAAGTCTTGTATTTATAGGGTAAAATTAGGAATATAACAGTAATAATTTTTAGAGTTGCAAGGGTGTAACTGTCATTCACCTCTAAACCTTAATAAACTTACCTTTTACAACATAGATCAATAAATGTGTCTTGAAAAATGTAAAATAAAGAATGAAAATAGAGAGTTTATTATATTGTATAAAAATTTTACTTCCGAATTAAAGAATACCTTCTATTGTGTACACGAATATCTCCAAAAGAAGTTAATGTCTATTTTAAAGGGATCATGCTTAGAAGTAAGTTTTAAGAGGTTTTCTATTTTAACTTTTCAAAATAGAGAATAAGTTTGACTCTCCAAATTTGAAGAGTTAAGTTCACTACCTATTCTTAATTTGTAGTAATTGCGTTTAGCTTTTGTTTGAGTCTCATTTTATCAAAAATTCATTTTCCATTGCACATTCTCTATTAAAATAATTTTACAAGTAAATGATAATTTTTTTTTCTTATTTTTAAATCTTACATTCTCCAAAAATACTTTTTTAAATTATATTTTCCCCCAAAATGGAGCACAAATAAGGACTTAATAAGTTTCGAATTTCAAACACTATTTAGATTTTTATACATTTAGAATGTATAAAAAAATTTGCTTCTAAATTTAAGGATACCTCTATTATATATGTACTGAAGAACATTTGATCACCAACGCGTTTCCAGGCTTAGTTTAATCCCAAAACAATCGACACCTCGAAAAATCAACCAAAATATCACCTATAGTTTCACCCACTCGAATTGCTTTTAGCACCCACGAAGAAACGCACAAAGGGAAGGAATTATTGCAGCCAGACAAGTTGAGGAATAACCAGAGAAAGAGAAGAACAAAGACAGGCGGCAACATAAAGCAAAAGACAGAACGCAATCAAGGTTATCACTCAATGGTTTGCCAATGACACGGTACCAAGGAGCAAAACCATATATAATAGTTAGGGTAAATTTAGGTCAGACGGTGGCCCAAGCCCAATATGGCCCATAGGTGTTTAATGAGTGGACTAAGTACAAAAGCTGTCCAAGGAGCTATGGGTCATGAGCAAATTTAAAACAAATCAGACTACTGCCAGTGATCCATACTAGTTATAGGTTCGGATTATTCCATTCAAGGTGTCGTTATTTCATTTCAACCATTTGGTCAATGTCGATTGAGTAATATGATTTAACATCATTGTTCGAGGAGATCGTTTGACAACAGTTTGTCTAACAATATATAAAAACATCTCCACAAAAACTCTCGAAATACAAGATGTTCTCTATTTTAAAGATATTGTGCTTAGAAGTAAGTTTCAATAGATTCTCTATTTTAACTTTTTAAGATAGTTTGGCTCTCCAAATTTGGAAAAGCCAAGCTCATTCTATAATCTTAATTTACAATAACTGCATTTAGGGTATTTTTGAGCCACATTTTTTAAAAAAAAATACATTTTTAAATAGTGATTTGACATCATTTCAACCACACATTTTTCAATAAAATAATATTACACATAAATTCAAAACTTTTCTTTATTTTTTAACTACATATTTTCCATCAATTCACCATTCAAAAATTCATTTTAAGAAAAATAATGTGACTCAAACAAGAGCTTAATAAGCTATAGATTTCAAAGTGTATTTAAATTATTTAAATCACATTTGTATCGATTAGTCATTGACATATAAAAAGTATGTTAATAAAAGACGAAGAAAAATAAATAAATATTCCTTGAAAACAAGTAATGTGAAGAGTCAAAATAGAGAGCTTCATTGCAGTGTATAAATAATTTTATTCTCTAAATTTAAAGTTGTCTTTAATTATGTATAAGATGTTTTTAATAAATAGAAAATCTCTAAGATGCTTGTTTATAAATAGAGTTTCTTAGATACACTCTTAGCAATATTATCGATGTCATGATTCCAACATAGGCCATGTGAAATTCATACAGAAAATATACCAAGAATGTACATATTACTTGTAACATTTGATCCCGTTTAGAGTTTATATGCTTGTAGTTAGTGACTTATAAAAGAAATGCACGTAATTTCTTATTGTCGTTCTTATATATTTTAGTCCTTGTCCAGGAACGGACCCAGACCTTTAGTTTTGTGGGGTCAAAATTTTAAAAATAATCTTTTTAATAAACAATATAATATCAATGAAAATAAGTTTATATGTATTTTGACACTTTGAAAATATCGTATAATTACATCATTATTAATATTATTAAATAAATTTTGCTACTTGTATAGTTTTGTTTATCATTTCATTAGCAAATACTGAGCTAACATTGAGTAAATTAAATTGAATATAGAAATTAAATGAATTGAAATAAAATTCAAGTTTAGTTCAGAAAGTAAATGAAATTCAAATTGCATTTAATCCGTAATGACCCTAAATAATTTATGTCATATTTCATGTAAGACTTCTGAATAAAACGATATAAATTATATTGAAAATTTTATCGTGCAAAAATAATAATTAATTGAATTTTTAAAAGAAAAAACGAGTTAGACGTCTTTTTTGAGGCGTTGTTTTATGCATATTTAACTATTACGATATTTGTTTGAATCATTCGATATGAAAATGATATAGTTTTCAAAACAAATTTTTATATGACATAGACGATTTGTGGATTCAAATAGCACATGATCGCAAACGAATTTTTAAAGTTAGGATATTATCAAAATTCTCAAAATACTAATTTGAAACACCTTACTTTAACATGTCATAACTTTTGCTATAATTGACCACTTTGCATGCCATTAATGAGTAAAAAAATTAGGCCATGAACACTTTGAAATGATATTAAAAATGCAATATTTTGATTTCATTTGGTATCTCGACGAGTTCATCAAAGTAGATTATAAAAAAAAAAAAAAAGGCAAAATTTTGTGAGGGTCATTTGACCCCATGTGAATCCATCCCTGTCCTTGTCATTCTACCTCTTCTAATTGTACAAAATATTAAGTGTCCTTTCAGTAAAACTTTTGAAAAATCAAAATTGCTTTTGAGATTAAAAAGCTTTTTAGATTGTTCGGGTAATTTTTCAAATATGCTTTGTCTAGTTTGAAGAGTATTTTAAAAGAAATTGACATAAAGTGACTTCTATTCGGATTTGACCTTAGAGTTCAACTTCTCAAAAATTGTTTAGTAAACGTAAGAAAATCGAATTATAGTAGAATATGTACTATTTAACTGTAGATTTTGAGAACTAGAAAAATGGTAGTTTTTCAAATTAAGCTTTTAGCTTCTCCAATTATCTATAGTTAAAGTATTAATTTTAACCCCAACTAATTAAATTAAGTTCATTTATGTCTTAGATTTATATATTTCAAAAATAACACATCCGTTTATCATTTGAATTTTTTTGAATATTTTAATACTATATGGTTTATACTTTTATTTTGTAATTTTATAAATTTTGAGATTTAATAGATATTATTTTTTTTTTCATTTTAAAATAACTATAGTGAATACCTGCTCTTCAGAAAATATTTAATGATATTACATATGATTGTAAAATAAAATAAATTTTACAATACATAATAATTATTCTTATTTATTATAATCGATGTCCATTTTAACAATTTTATATAAATACAACAATAAATTACTTTTGTTTATCAACCACCGCAATGCTGAGTTTGGAACTTACACAAATTTTTTGACAAAGCTAAAACGTTAATTACACTTATAATTATAGATGCAATCTTGTGGAATACGAACAATGTACACCATGCTTAAATCCTTGCCCGTAGAATTTTTCGTATAATTTTACCAGAGGGAGCTTTTGGAATTTCATCTATGAAAAACACACGATTAATACGCTTATAAGGCACCACCTGCATGATCAACATAACACCATTACCTCATGATAATTTCCCCGTGACGCCAATTATATTTAAATTGTAGTCTTTACAATTATTATTACCAAAATATATTGGACAATACTGTAAGAAAGACCAATGATATGTACCTGCGTTGAGATATATTGCTTAATATGTTCCTCGGAGATTTTGGAACCATTTTCTCGAACCACGAATGCCACCGGGACTTCTCCTGCAGCATCGTCATTCATACTGCATTTCAACTCATAAATGTTACTAATATTAGATGGACCGAGCTACATAACCGGCACGGCTGATCGCATGGTTAACATAATACACACACATGAGCGTTGGGATTATTTTATTCAGGGGGGGGGGGGACCACGTCGACCATGTGAGGATGCAGTCACCTAGAATGTCAACGGCGCGGGTTGTTTGGTTTTTTCCGTATTAGATATATATATTTATATTATGAAACAAACATTCGGAACGTGCTTAATATAGCAGCAAGACCCTTGTAATGATGAAGTATTTGTTGCTTTAGTCTTATTAATTTGCACGCAAATGTCACCAAATTAAGAGTAAGCTTCACGGTCTGTTTGCAGGGCTTTTACTTCTTGTAAAAAATAATTCTGACAAGTTACCTCAATCCAGCTTTATCTGTAAACTCTTCTAGTCAATTAAAGTACTACCAAAAAATTATTTAAGGACCCATTTGACATAATTTTTTTCTTCGAATAGAACAGCTTTGTAATGAAGTTACCTTAATTTTTGTTTGAAAATTAATTTTAGAAATAATTTTCTATTTCGAAAGTGCTTTTAGAAAAAATCACATTGAATCAATTTCCTCTAAAAATTCTTTTAATTAGGAAAAAAAAATTACACTTTTCATAAGATTAACCATACAAGTCCAAAAGTAATTTTTAGATCTCAAATCTCGTTTTAATTTCTCAGAAGTCATGTGAAACATACCTTAAGTATGTTCGAAAGTGGATTCTTAATCTCTAAAACAACTTTTGACTTTTTTAAAAATTCTGTCAAACGAGCCTCTAATGTGGTTACTAGACTATTTTTTCAGCCTCAATTTTCCTTATCGTAATTTCAAAAAATAAAAAAATAAATAGTGCAATATACTGATAAAACTTACGGTACAACTGCAGCATCTGAAATACTGGGATGAACAATTAATAATGCTTCAAGTTCTGCAGGAGCTATGTGGAACCCTTTATATTTGATCAGTTCCTTCAATCGGTCCACAATGAATAATTCTTCATTTTCGTCCACATACCCAATATCACCGGTATGCATCCATCCCTCTCTATCTATTGTTCTCTTCGTGGCCTCCGGGTCATTCAAATAACCTGTTTTTGTTAAAGTCAATTTAACTAGGCCATTCTCAAAAGAATATAACGAAAATGAGCAACCGAAATTAACCTTTCATAATCTGATCTCCTCTAATCCAAATTTCCCCAGCTCGATTATATGGAAGAGAGAGGCCTGTTTGGGGATCATTAATTTTCATCTGGGCGTTCCTAATGACAGTTCCACATGAACCCGATTTGAATTGGAATGCTTCTTTGGCAAATCCCAAACACATTGATACCACCCCACCCTCTGTCATACCATAGCCCTGTGCAAATATTACGATAAAAAGATTTGGTGAAAATTATTAATAACAATAAAAATTTAATTTGTGAATAAAGAACACTACAACTTAACTTCTTAAGAAAAAATTAAAAGTTAAAAATCAACTTAATCTTCTGTTGAGGCGAAGGTAATGCTTATGTTGATGTTTGATGATAATAAATTAATACTTGTGTAGAAGCAATCTAGTATAAGTGATTGATAACAACAAATTTTTGTTCTGACCCAAAATAAGTCATGCATTTTTTCTTTTCGACAAACATAGAACATGTTTGATTATGTTTAAAAGTTACTTTTAAGCAAATTTTTATTTCTATACATGTTGAATAGGTTACTTATTCTAAAATTGACTATTTTGTTATTATTAAAATAACTTATTTATTGTCAACTTTGATCAATAAAAATTTTACATTTAAAACTTGTACATTCAATTATAGGCAAGTCTCCTCGTGACTGTTTTCTGATTTCCAAAGATTTAGACATAGATGATACATATTGATTAATTCAAATATCATAGACATATAAAAGGGTTGGCATTTTTGCTCTAAATCGATGGAGTCGAACCAGAACTAGATAGAATCATTCGGTTCGCAATCAGTTCCTCTAATAAATGGATCAACCTTGGGACATGCATCAAGAATCAGACAATTTTAGTCCCATTCTCGATGTTGTCATGACTCTTGAGAACCAATAGTTGATTCGATTCTCCTATATGTTTCTTCTTATTGACGAATTGTATCAAAACGTACCAAATCTTTGAATACTAGACCCAAAATTTCATTTTTCATAGTTTCCTTGCTATTTCCTTTGCGGCAAAATCTAATGGGTGATTAAAATTCAAATCTACATAATTTTATAAATACTTTGTAAATTCATAACTTTTATGCAATCTAATAGAAAAAAAAATTATATTTAAATTTAATATTAAGTAAAATTCAAATTTCTTGTTGTTTCCAAAGTGCCTGGCCATCTAGAATCAAGACACTCGATGATTATTAGAAGTACGATTATAAATACTGGGGTAATTAGCAGAAAATATTATTATCTTTCAATATTATTGTGCAAAACATTCTTACATTTTTCATTTTTTGGCACTTTTATCCTTAACTTCACATTTTATTGCAAAAATCATTATTTCATCAAATTTCTTGTGTAAAATGACAAATATGACCCCTATTTAAATAGAACAATAAAAAAAATTAAAGAATAAATTGCAATCATACTCTCAAACTTTTTAAAAAAATGTAAATGAGTCAGAATAAATTACTAAAAGAGTAATTAGCATAAAACGTCCATACCTTTTACTGTTATTGTGTAAAATATCCCTACTTTTCATTTTTTTAGATTTTCACTCTTATTTCATATTTCATTGCGAAAATTGTTATTTTCATCCATTTTCTCAAATAAAAACTGTAAAATGACAAATATACACTCATCTTTAAATAAACAAAAATAAAGAAAAGAAAAATAAAGAATAAAGTGCAACTATATGTCCAAAATTTTTTTAAAAGTATAAATAAATTTCAAATAATTAAATTAAAAAAGTAAGTGATTTTTTTAATTATTTATTTGAAATTTTTTTTAATGTTTTTTTTAGAAATTTGGGAATATAGTTGCAATTTGTTATATATTTTTCTTTTCTTTATTTTTGTTTATTTAAAGGAGATGGTGTATTTGTCATTTTACAATTTTTAATTGAGAAAATGAATGAAAATAATAACTTTTTACAATGAAATATAAAAATAATAGCCAAAATGTCAAAAAATGAAAGATATGAACGTTTTGTACAATAATAATGAAAGGCAGTGACATTTTGTACTAATTATTCTTTTAATAATTTATTTGGACTCATTTGCACTTTAAAAAAAAAAAGTTTGGGAGTATGAATGAAATTTATTCTTTAACTTTTCTTTTTAATTGTTTTATTTAAATAGGGGGTCTACTTGTCATTTTGTACAAGAAATTTAATTAAAATGATGATTTTCCTAATAAAAGGTGAGGGTAAGGGTAACTGTGCCAAAAATTAAAGGTAGAGACGTTTTGTGCTAATTACCCATACTACATGTATTTTTAATTTTATGAAAAGTTAATTTTGTTTAAATTTCATTTTTACATACATGCATGGATTTTCTTAAAAATTAATTTTCGATCCAAAATTTTCCCTTTTTATTGTGTTCAATAGTTTATCAGTTTTTCCTCTTTATTCATTGATTTTGAGCTCTAGAGTGATTTTTTACTGTTGTCTTATTAATTTATTTTTCATATTGTTAGATTACAAGAATGACAAATGATTTCATACTTTAATTTATCTATTTTCAATCGAAAAATAGTTTGATACTTTATTTTTATTATTTTTAATATAAAGAACCGAATCGAACCGAAATCAATTCGGTCAATTTCAATTCGATTCTATAATTGAATATGGAACTAATGGTTCCATTTCTAATACATTTATTGATATTCAATTCAGATAAGTCTTTTTTAGAAGGACAGTATTGATTGTACAGGATACGGATTCACAGAACCCATACCGAATACACACAACATTTGAGGTGGGTGAGATTTTTCGTGGTTTTTTTATATAAATGGATCCCATGCGGGACCCATTTGATGTCAGTGCAAAATCCCTTTACATTCAGCATTATTGCTTTTAGAATCGGGGGTTAGATCGTACCCACTCTTAAGAATATTATCTGGTTGAGTCAACCATATTAATATATTGGACATTATGTTTTTCTAATTATTATTTTCAACAGAAAATTTTCAAATGGTTTTAAATTATTATTAACTGTCGACATCATATTTATTGCGACATTTATAGTTACAAAATCCAAAATCCTAGGGATCCGCTATTTCAGCTGTTATATAGATCCACGCTTATCATGACAATCAATTTACGCCAAAAAATAACTTGCAAGTTAACATCACGAAAAATCATGATCATTATATACGTATACATATAGAGATAGATAGATATAGATAACGGTCATATTTTTTATTTTTGTAGACAAATAATGAGAATCAAACGGACCCCTAAAATATACTTCAAACCACAACCCATCATTTTTTTTCAACTGCACTACACTTACAGAAAGGAATTGCACAGATCGCTTACAGATCCCACACTATTCATGGGGTGGGTGGTTATATTTTTTCAATATAAAACTCACATTATGAATATATTATGTGGAAATGATTCTGTACAATCAAAATTATTGTTTTTTTAAATCAAAATTTGACTTTTATCTAAGTCAAACGGGTGCTATGTGATTATGTGAAAAATAAATGGATCGAACTAAAGGAACATAATGATTGACATAGGAGATGATCGAATACACACACTTCGAAGGTCGGGCATTATTTAATTCACGTGGGGTCTGCCTACTTTGTGAGGGTCGATCATCCCGAATGTCAAATATTTTCAGGGAAAGTGGCATTTTCCAAAATAAATTAAAGATTAGAGTTGCTATGAGGTTGATATCTAGGTTCAACATACATACAATATCTTAGACAAAATATGGCAGAGAATACAAGGAAAAATGAAAGAAAAAGAAACTGTACCTGCCCAATTTTGGCATTGGGTAGCTTCCTTCTGACTGCATCTTCGAGGTTCTTGTCCATGGGAGCCGCACCACACACCACCCGTCTTACAGATGAAAGATCAAACCTGTCGGCCACCGGACTTTTGGCTATGGCCAAAAGTATTGGCGGCACAAATGGCGCAATTGTCACCTTATATTTCTGCACATTTTCCATTAACGCATTGATCTCAAACTTCTGCATTATAAGAATTGCAGAACCCACTCGAAGAGTGCAAAGCATAACTGTAATAAGCGAGTAAACATGAAACAATGGCAGCACACAAATGGTGAGGTCCTCAGGTTGAACACACAGAGTAGGGTTTTCTCCATCAACCTGTTGGGACACGCAGGTTACTAGGTTTTTATGTGTTAACATCACGCCTTTTGGGAAGCCGGTGGTGCCGGAGGAAAATGGAAGCACGACCATATCATCCGGGTGGACGTTGACTGATGGGATGGAGTTTTCATCGGTCTGAGTCAGTTCGGAGAAGTGGAAACAACTTTCCGGCGGGGGATCAATGCAAAAGATTTTTACACCATTTTGTTGAGCAAAGTTCTTCACTTTCTGAACGTAAATGGCATGGGTGATTATGAGGTACGGTTTGGATATGGTGGCTTGTTTTTCAATCTCCGCCGGAGTGTAAAGTGGATTGGCAGTGGTCGTTATTGCTCCGATATATGATGCTCCGAGAAAAGCGAACACGAATTCCGGCGAGTTATGGAGTAATAACATTATAACTTGGCCCTGTTGGATGCCGAGTTTGTTGAGTCCGGCGGCGACTTTACCAGCGGTGAGTTTGACATCGGCTTGGCTGAATACTTCGCCGTTGGCGGCGTTGATGATGCATGGCCTTGTGCTATGTTTTGATATGTTCTGAAAACAATACGTATGAATTGGAAGATGGTTTGGTATGTAAATATCTGGAAGTTTAGACCGGAAAATGAATTCTTCTTTATCTTTATTCAGCGACATTTTGCTGTGGGGTGGGAGGGAGGCGGCGGCAGAAGGTGGTGGTGTTGCGGTGTTTCTTGACCTTTGCATTAGTTGTGTTACGCAAGGAAAAATATATTGCTGGATATGAAAGAGTTTGAGAAAGCTTTTCAAGTCTAGAGACCAATTAAAAGTGTGATACTGTGATCCATGTGCACACTTGTGAATCTGTCAATCAATAATTTATGCCAGCTTTGACTGAATGGGTAAAAATTAAAAGAATTAAGCTGCTCAATTAAGCTGCTCACTTTGACGGCCCACTCACACAAGTGAGTCCCGCGATTATTTTAATCGCGGAGTCCATTTATGTTATGTGTGAGGACTGTCAAAAATGATGTAAAAATAGGCGTACTTGTAGTATAGTTGAAATTAAAAATATTTAGTTCCTGTTTGAGTCACATTATTTTTCTTAAAATGAATTTTTGAACAGTGAATTGATCAGAAATCTGTGGTTAAAAAATAAAGAAAATTTTTGGATTTACGTGTGATATTATTTTATTGAAAAATGTGTGGTTGAAATAATGTCAAATCACTGTCTAAGAATGTATTTTTTTTTAAATGTTGCTCAAATATGCCCTTAGAGTTTAATTTGTTTGACAAAAATTTTCCTGGAAGTTTTAACGAATTTTGATAGAAGTTGATGAAATAAGTCATTTAAAATTTGATAAATTATTAATTTTATAAAATTGTATTGTTAAGATTGAGTAATGTTTTTCATCACCATGGGTGTTAAGCACTCGTCTAAGTGATTGGATGATATTAGATGATAAATTCTTTCAAATGAAGTGTGTATGCATAAACTTGTGCTCTAGTATCATTGCTACAATATAACATTATTCTAAAATTAATTGAACTTTGATTTCAAATTTTAGCAATATTTTAAATTATTCCAAACAAGCACTTAGGCAAGGGAGTAGAGGCTCTAAGCGGTCCAACGTGAGGTTTAGTTTGCATAAATTATAATGAAAATATTGATATCAATTGATAATCAATTATATATGAAAGGATATATTTTCTATACTTCGTAATAACATTTATTGATTGTCATGTTTAATTTTATTGAATTTGTTGTGTTTGATTCGCAAAACTTACTACTAATCTGTAATAGATTGATGAATCTAAAAGCATCTCCAATGTATGCATCATTTCACTAAAATGCACCAAATTGTGGTGTAAAATTCCTCCAATGTACCAAATTTTTCACCATTTTACACAAAAATGGTGCAAAGTGAATAATGTTGTACCGTGCAAAGTGTGCAATGTCATTTTTACCCTTACTTTTCATTTCTCAAATAAATTGATTAAGGGTATTTGTGTCATTTGTGCTATTTTTTTAATACAATAAATTATTATTATTTTCATTTAAAATAAAATTTAAATGTAAAAAATAATAATTAATGAATTAAATTAAAAGAAGAAGAAACTTTAAAATATAACAAATACGATTATTTCTTAAAGTTAATACGAAATATATTAAAGGACGACATAAATAGGATAATCTAATTTTATTTAAAGAAAATGCTACATAAAAATGTACATAGTTTAGTAATCTAGAAGATGGCTTCCAGGTACTTCAATATTGTCAAAATAATTTTCAAACAAACCAAATGAACTTTCAAATTCTTTATCTTGTTGAGCTCTCTTCTGTAAAATTCTTGCTTATTCGTTTTGCAAGAACAAATATAGGTTTTGGATCTGTTATCGAACTTAAATCTTTCAACAAAATTTTATTCTCCTCACAATAGTCTGTCATTGCCAATTTTCTTTTTTGGATTTTGTAATTCTGATATCTTTTCTCACTACTTTTTTTCATAATTTCGAGAAGTTGTCGATTGTCTTCTTTAATAGATGCAAGTAATTTTAGATCTTCTTCTCTGTTTTTCCTTTTTAGTTTTGATTTCAAGAAGTTGGTGCTCACATTGTAATTTGATATGTATTAATTGATCATTTGTGGGAAGAACATATGAATTGTGAAAAATAAATTGCAAAAATTTTGGGACTTTATAATATTGTAATATCCAAATTGGAGATGCATTGATTTTTTTTAATGGCATGATTTTATATTTCCGTTGTTGTGGTGTTTTTATTAATTGTACTATATTTTTTATATTTATTAATGAATTTATTCTTTTCCGTAATTCAAAGTAATTATTTATTTAGTAATTTATGTATTTATAAAATAAGTAAATAAATAATATTTCAAATAAATAAATTACTAAGAATTAAAAAAAAAAGGAAGAAAATGGTTAAACAATGTTCGTTTGGTGTAATTGTTGGAGATGAATTTTGGCTTGGTGCAAATTTTGGTATAAAATAATGCTAATTTTAGTGCAGCGCTGGAGATGATCTAAGGTTAGATATGCAGTACAATTTCTGATGCTAAGGATCCTTTAAAGAGATAATAGCAAAGCATACTTTTGTTATTGTTTAAATTGCTAGCTTATCATGAATTGTTAAAATTAATTAATTAGATAAGGACATCTAACAACCATACTGTACAAAAGCTACATAAATAAATATAAAAATATGCGTCGGCAGAGTACTCATTATTTGATGATAACTTAATTTATTTGTAGAAGATATTTTTTTCTTTATTTTTTAATTTTTCTCTAAAGTAATTCTCTTCGTAGTTAAATTTTTAACAGTTTAAAATTCCTTAATTGTTCAGGATGAGTTGGGGTAGTAATTTTTGCGAAAAGAACTTCAAAGTTTATGTTAACTTGTTGGACAATTGATGTCTCAATTTTTAAATCGTGCAAATGGGAAGTGATTGTAAAAGAATTTTGTGGAAATTTCACCCATGCTAATTAAATACAAAATTTTAACATACTTGCCCTAAGACCTTTCACGTAATTTAGATTGTATTATGAGACGGATCAAGACACACGTATACAAAGTTATGTTCTTTTTGTATCAGGATGTTTTGATCCATTTCGAGTCTTTAGTGTTGGGTCATTGCTTTTCACTGCACTTCATTTCTTTTTGTTTTACTCGGGTATGCTTGGAGTAATTGTATATGATATTGGCTTTTGATTCGTTCAGAAATGCTCGATGTACTTGTATATGAAACATTTTTTATCAATGATATTTACATTTACAAAAAAAAAAAAAAAAAAAAAGAAATGAGAGAGAAGAGGGGGA